AGGCAGGTGGTGGACCAAGCCAGTGGAGGGAAGGAGCGAGGGAGACGAGGAATTTAGCTGCACATGGGGGGCGCATTCTCTCCCGAGCGCGCGTCCTCTCTCGCTGTCTGTTGCGGTGGACAATCAGGGAAGCAACACGTCTCGCTTGTAACACCCGACCGCAAAACCGCAGAACACGAACCTTGCAGCAGTAAACAAGCACCAAAACCCAGAGCCCTTCAACAAGCCGGCGGCCAACATCAAAACAGAACAGACCAACAAACAAACGAATGACGCAATGTTGTTCTTTCGTGCTTGCCGGTAGCCTTGACGTGACAAACACCGTGCGCATACCTTCGGGAGGTACACCACCGCTGCTGGGTGCTCCCTCTTGAGGAAGGCTTTCATGCTTACCACCAGCGGCCTGCAGGGCGAAAGCGAGGGGAGGCAAAAACAATACAGGAAGTGATCAATTCTAACTCGTAAGACAACTCCCCATCGACAACTTGACGGGGGGGGCGGAGGCTTGAACGCTAAACTGCAAGCGCCAGCGAGCTCATGCACAAGTGAGTGGTTTCTGAGGCATGCCGCAAGGACAACGCCCCCCCCCACCCTGCCACCACCGCCACGTTCCGCGCCGAGCGATTGCAAGCAGCATGGTCCAACCTGATACCACCAGTTTCTCTGGATGGATACCAGCCGGGTTGTGGATAGACTCCTTCCTTCCCCTATATGGACGCGATGACTATTTTTCATGGAAAGAAAAGACACACAAAAAAATCCTGACTTCCCTCTTCTCAGTGCTCATCATTTCCGTGTCCTCCTTTTGCATTCCTAAACTAAAATACGTCACCTCTCTCTGTGTCTTGTCTGTGTGTCTGTGTTTAATATTGGCATCGACCGCGCTAATCGGCTGACCAATGAAAAGAAGTCAGTCTCAGTGCGGTCGATAACAGAAAATGCATCGAAATGCTATTTTTCTGTGTCTGTGTGCGTGTGTGTGTCTCTCTCTGCGCCTGTCTCTTATTCTGTTATTTTCTCCCTCTCTCACATCACTTCCATGCAACATAATCTCCCACCCTCTTCTCTGCATGCAACAGAGCCTTCCTGCAACTCACTTGTCCTCCTTGATGCCCTGTATGAGAAGAAACGGGACGGTCTTCAGCCTCGGCGCCGCGTTCAGCAGGAACTCCGCGTCCACGAGGTAGCTGGCCACCAGCGCCTCCGTGTACTCCCCGCCGAGGAGTTCGCCCAGCGAGACCCCGTCGGCGTTCGAGGCCGGGTCCGAGGGGATGCGCACCGGGCGGAAGAGAGGGGGGCAGCTCCACCGCTCCGAGTCGTAGGACTTGGGCCGACGCCCCCGGGCATCGTGGCTGGATACCACCGGGCGGGGAACCTTGGCGTTCTTGTCCACCTTGTGCCACGAGGAGGTGCCGCTGTTGGTGTTGGGCGCAGCTTCTGATAGGGGGGGGGGGTGGTGTGGTGAGGAAGGCATGGATGGAGAACGGCAGTCTTGCTAGTTACGTAGGGGGGTGGTTTCTTCAGTGCTGTTTGACTCGAAAGTTGAAACTGGTGCAGTGGAAGCAGCAGCAGCAGCAGCAGCCGCTACGATAGGCCCAAAAAATAGATTGGGAGGACAAAGCAGAAGCAGTATCGGCAACACGGCAGCAGCAGCGGCCTTAGTTCTATAATGCAACAAGAGTAGATGGCGATGCACTTTCGTGAGGGCTACCGTGGCGCAGTCTCCTAGGCATGGCTCTCCAATACGCCGAGGAAAGCGAAACACCCAATCGTTCAAAGACACGGAACATGTTGTGTAAAACAGACTTGTCCTTGCGAGACATGAACGGATTTCAGAGTCCAGCAGCAAGCAAGACACGCCATTCGTTTTGGCGCCCTCTTGGTTATCACCCGCGCTGCTGCTGGCCGCTGCTCCTCCTGCGGCCACCCCCGCCCCGCCGCTGCTGTCCGCCCCCCCTCCCGCTGCCGCCTCCGCCGCGCCGCCAGTGCCCGCTGCCGCTGCCACCGCCGCCGCTGCCACCGCCGCTGCCGCTGCCGCCGCCGCCGCCGTCAGCGGCCCCGCCTCCGCCGCCGGTCCAATCGGTGGGGTTCAAGACGACGTTGCCGTTCTCGTCGACGTCCAGGGAGATGCCGTCACCATCGAGGTTCTCGAGGATGTCCAGCATGCCGTCCAAGGATCCTCCCAGCGATCCGATAGGGGACACCGGCGACTGGGAGCCCGCCACGGGGGCGAAGTGGTCCTGCTGATGGTCTTGGTCCATGGGGTCGGCGGCGGAACCAGAATCGTAATCGTCCATGCCGGAAAACCCAAGCAGGAGCCTGCGTGGATAACAAGGGCGAGAGTTGTCCGGTTCAAGCAAGGCTGCTTTGCCGGGACTTGCTTCTTGTTTCCTTCTCTCCCAGGGAGCGCGGCACACGGTTTCGGGAGCTGTAGATATCTGTACTCTCTAGATCCTCCGCGGTAGGGACGAACCTTCCTTGCGGTGGGGAAGCCTTAGCCTTTGGTGGAGGGGTAAAGTCAACAGAGAGCCTGGATCGACACCTTGCTTCGGCGTTACTGCGAACAGCCGCTCCTGGCTGCAACAAAAGCTGGACAGCAGCGCAGCTACCTATCTATTGATCGATCATCATGTGTCAGCCACAAGGGCAAAAAAGCGCTTGCTTGTGTGAGCGGTAAGCGGCCCAATAACGGCAAATGGCGTCGTCAGAAATGTGTCGTAGATCGTACGTACGATCTCCGTTGGGAGCGGTGCTGTAGATGCAGATGTTGGTATGCACACATAGGTCCACCGATCGGCGGAGAGCGAGAGTGCAGGGGACGGGAGAGCCCGCCGCACCATCACCACTGCTGAGCCTGTGTCGCGTGCGTGTGCCCTCGATGAAGAGCAAGAACAGCTCCTCCTCATCTGAGAGTTTCTTCAGGGCCCAGTATGAGAGCGTCTGCAAGGAACGGTAGGAGGACTGCTGGCAACTGGCAACACAATGTACTCTGCTGCTGTAGTCTGGTGTTTGCGATCCAAAGCAGTTCGTAGAGTGTTAACGTTACACACCGTTAACATGAGGTTATGCCCATCCCTGTTAGCGCTCTTTCTATCAGAGCCGCCGAACCACTATAGTCACTAGTAGCAGGTCACACTGGAACAGGTATATGCATACAAGGAACACAGGTTCAGAGCAGATTCCTCCAAGTCACCGGGATGCGGCGGGATTTAGCTACTGCTGCAAGGCCTCACGGCCTTTGTCATGATTACAGCATGCATCCCACAACGCTTTGCAGCTAGTTGCTGTATGTTGGCAGAGCAGTGTCACCTGCTGCCTCTTTGTGGATCATGTTGTGTTTGTGTGTTGGGTCTGATGAGGTCTCCTAAATACGCCAGTCGAATGACCTCGCTCGAAAGCTGTGTCTTTCGGAACTACCGTCGCAGCACACAGGCACGGTAGGTCGAGATGGTCTTCTAACGCCCCCCCTCTCTAGGCTTTCACGTGAGCGGAAGAGGGAAGAAGCGATCGCCATGTCAAACCCAGTTTGCAAGGCAAAAGGTTTCCCAATGTGGTGTTGCGGAATGAAAACTCGCTCGTATGCTAATCTCGGGAGTTTTTCCGATCGAGTAAAGAAAAGTTGCGATACCCCTCACTTCAGTGGGTGAGGCGGACAAGGTACGGTATGTTCCGTACGGTATGTTCCGTACAACGATGGTATGATACGGCATTCAGTAGACCCCTGGAGTTGTGGTTGATATGGAACGGGTGACGGGAAAACATGAAAACATCGTGGTACTGGTATAGTGCCTCTACCGGCGGCCGGCCGGCGGCCCCGCCTCAATAAGTCGTGTTGCTGTCTCGTCGCTGGCCTGGGTCAGCCTTTTGGGCAGGACTGATCTAACCCCCACCGAACATTACCTTGCACGAATGGCGTTCCAGCATGGTATGAAGCATGCCTAAATACCATCAGCACCAACACACTGTGTGGCATGTTTGTTTTTCAGGTTTGGCGTTTTGGGAAAACGCAAGAGACCGATCAACTTCACATAACAATGGTTATGGACCCGTCCGCGCCACACAAACGACATGACAATGCGCCAATTTGATTTGTTCCCGATTAGCTTTCCTCTACCTCTCTCTCTCATACACACATAAATATGTTCGTGTCTTTTTTCCCGTAGTATCTTACAACATGAAACGGAGGCATTTTAACATAGGCCAGCCGATTATTAGCGCGGTGGAGGGCGACCAAAGAAACACAAGGCACACCCCACCTATCGTGTCCACGTACGCTGTGGTTGCTAAAACATAGTCCCCAAACGGCGGTACCGCTGTACATGACTGATTCGCAGGGATGCGCTTCAGGGCACGATCGAGGCTCAGGAGCGAGACATCGACGAGCTGAAGAAAAGCGTCTATGAGCTCTCGTACATGCTCTCCATGCAGGTTGGTCGGACACGCCAAGTCGGAACAAACCACTGCTGTTGTGATACATAGCCGCCATCCTGCTGTTGTTTCGCGCCTTTGGATAGTTTTGAAGCCTCTTGTGGGCTGATCGAGGACAATATTTACAGGATCGTTACAGCAGCCGGGGTAGCCCTTTGACCGAATCATGTGCTCGTGCCCCTGTTCATCTGCTCCGTCTGTTGGCCGCTATACTTTTAAGGGGAGCGCCGGTTCAGCCCCAGCATCGGCAAGCCTTGCACCTGCGGCAGCAAGCCCTGGTGCTGCAACGGGGGGCAACGGTGAGTAGAAAGTGCTTCGATAAAGACTGGAGAGAGCGTAGTCGTCGCCATGCAGGGCCCTCCCCATACAACTGTAAGCCCCCCCACCCCCCCGGTGTTTTGCCATCGGGGTTGGGTTCTCGTCGCTTGGCAACGACGTTGTAAAACAAGCCGCCGCCCCCACGGTGTTTTGCCATCGGGATTGGGTTTTCGTCGCTTGGCAACGACGTTGTAAAACAAGCCAAGTCACTTCGTGAACTCGGCAACCAGGTTACCTTTTTTTTTTTGCCTCTTTCTTTTTTTTCGGTACCCATGAATGATGGTCGAGTAGATTGTGTTGTGCGGGGTTGAGAACCCTCACTCCGCGCAAAGGGGCTAATCGCACGACGTTATGTTAAATTGATCAAGCACCCTCGAGGCAGATACACAGTGCTTACAGCTGTCTCGGGAAGTGAAAGCACCAGAAAAAAAGTTTAAGTCATACGTACGCAGCTGTCATCCGTACGCAAGGAGTACGCACAAGATGCCGAACACCCTTAGTAGGATGCAGCGCACCCTTCATGCGACTCGCCGCATACCTCACGGCGCTTCGCGCTTGGTGGTGTGAGAGCCTGGTCCGGTGAGAACAGGCGTGCTCCGTCCCGGCTTTCTAGGAATGCGAGGTCAATGGTCTAACGACTACGGCATACACGACTATGAGTACACCCCACGTGCACCCCTACTTGGCTTGAATGCGGTACACCTGTTGGTAATGTATCCCGACTAGGTCTTGTACCAGGTGCCAAGTGCCGTGCCTGCGCGTTGGGGAGGGGGGAGGGGGGGGGGGGCGTCGATGACTCCGGAAACCTAGAAAGTGGAACATTTTCAAAGTGAAACTGGAAGGTGTAACGGGACAGAAAACCGGCCATTTTGACATGGAAAACAGCATGTCTACAGCGAGAAAAGCACGCAAGAGTTCCTTCCCAACAGGAAGAAAAACAACCCAGCGTGTCTGACCCTCCTCCCTTGGTTGAACCCCCCCCCCCCCCCGGGCTCTCCGCGCGCCTGTTGTACATACCCCGTCCTATGACTGTAGTCACGGGGCCGCCAAGCCGAAAAGTGTTCGACCCCCGCGTCGGAATCGCGACGGCCCACCTGGACTCTCTCGGCCTCATGAACGGGGGCGGTATAAGGGTCGGCAGCAACGGTATCCGAATCCCGGCGGGACGAATTCTCGTGGCAGAAGCAAAACTGGGGAGTATTGACCGCGGGGTTTCTAAATCTGGATTGTTCCCCGTTTTCCTTTCTTGGTGTTGTCGGCGAATCTGACGAGAGCGCATATCCCGGTGTCCCATCTGTTGGCTAGTCCGCCGTCCGCCGTCGTGATTACAGCCGCGCTTCTGTCTGCCACATAGACCACTATCACGGTCTACCTCTTTGCCCAACCCTTGCCCCCCCCCCCCCCCCCCCAAACCGGGCCCACCCGGGGTGTGTACCTGGCCAAAATTTCCCCCCGAGAAAACCCTGTGGGCCCCCCTGGGGTTCAACCGAACCCGGGGGTGGGGGAAGGGGGCCACCCCTACAACCCAGGGGGGGGGTTTGGAGGGGCCCCCCC